TAGGGGGAGGGGGTGTGCAGGTCAAGATTTTATGAGCCTGACTCCCTAGGGGGCTGAGTTAGGGGCCGAAAAGGGGGGGGGGGAATTTAGGGAAATTTCAAAAATCTTCTTCTCCATTTCTAGAAATGCTAGAATCAAATACTACTCATAGTTGTAAAGGCTTTTGGGTAGTTCATAAAAATTGTGATTTTCATGTCTCCTAGCACCGCCGTTTGTTCCTGGGGAGGGTGTGAAGTTTAGTATAGTTTATATAGGAAATAAACATAATAGGCCATATCTACCATTGTTTTCAACAGAAGTTGTTCATAGACAAAGTCTCAAGTGACCTATTGCTATCGCCTTTTGTCTGTCGTCCGTCGTCCGTCGTGTGTCCGTAAACCATTTACATTTTCGACTTCTTCTCCAAAACCCCTGAACCAATTTCAATGAAAGTATAGTTTATATAGGAAATAAACATAATAGGCCATATCGACCATTGTTTTGAACGGAAGTTGTTCATATTTGACAGAAACACTTGTTAGGGGGATAGGGTCTGCAAAGAAAAGTTTTATGAGCCTGCCCCCTAGGGGGCTGAGTTAGGGGCCGAGAAGTGGGGTTGGAATTTAGGGAAATTTCAAAAATCTTCTTCTCCATTTCTAGAAATGCTAGAATCAAATACTACTCATAGTTGTAAAGACTTTTGGGTAGTTCATAAAAATTGTGATTTTCATGTCTCCTAGCACCGCCGTTTGTTCCTGGGGAGGGTGTGAAGTTTAGTATAGTTTATATAGGAAATAAACATAATAGGCCATATCGACCATTGTTTTGAACGGAAGTTGTTCATATTTGACAGAAATACTTGTTAGGGGGAGGGGTTCTGCAGATAAAAATTTGTATGAGGTTGCCCCCCTAGGGGGCGGGGGCAGGGGCTGAAAAGGGGGGGGGGGAATTTAGGGAAATTTCAAAAATCTTCTTCTCCAGTTCTAGAAATGCTAGAATCAAATACTACTCATAGTTGTAAAGACTTTTGGGTAGTTCATAAAAATTGTGATTTTCATGTCTCCTAGCACCGCCGTTTGTTCCTGGGGAGGGTGTGAAGTTTAGTATAGTTTATATAGGAAATAAACATAATAGGCCATATCGACCATTGTTTTAAACGGAAGTTGTTCATATTTGACAGAAATACTTGTTAGGGGGAGGGGTTCTGCAGATAAAAATTTGTATGAGGTTGACCCCCTAGGGGGCGGAGTCAGGGGCTGAAAAGGGGGGGGGGGAATTTAGGGAAATTTCAAAAATTTTCTTCTCCAGTTCTAGAAATGCTAGAATCAAATACTACTCATAGTTGTAAAGACTTTTGGGTAGTTCATAAAAATTGTGATTTTCATGTCTCCTAGCACCGCCGTTTGTTCCTGGGGAGGGTGTGAAGTTTAGTATAGTTTATATAGGAAATACACATGATAGGCCATATCTACCATTGTTTTGAACGGAAGTTGTTCATATTTGACAGAAACACTTGTTAGGGGGATAGGGTCTGCAAAGAAAAGTTTTATGAGCCTGACCCCTAGGGGGCTGAGTTAGGGGCCGAGAAGTGGGGTTGGAATTTAGGGAAATTTCAAAAATCTTCTTCTCCATTTCTAGAAATGCTAGAATCAAATACTACTCATAGTTGTAAAGGCGTTTGGGTGGTTTATAAAAATTGTGATTTTCATGTCTCCTAGCCTGCCCGTTTGTTCCTGGGGAGGGGGTGAAGTTTAGTATAGTTTATATAGGAAATAAACATAATAGGCCATATCTACCATTGTTTTCAACAGAAGTTGTTCATATTTGACAGAAATGCCATATCTACCATTGTTTTGAATGGAAGTGAAACTGATATCGTTTGCTTGAAGTGAGTGATCTTGCGACGGAGCACAGGGGTTGTTATAAATGTCTGAAATGTTTATGTGTGCTTTGACTCATATCAGTAGGTCTGTAACATATGTGTCAGTAGGTCTATAGAATATGTGTATTTCAGACATTTGTGACGAACCCCTGCTGATCAGTGCAGTGTAACAGACGACATTTCTGATAAATTGCATTAGTGTTAAAATTGTTTCCATTGCCGGCATTGGTGATTTCAACCGATGTGCATTTTGTACGATATTGCAGACCTTGGTCTTGTTTTTGTTGTAATAAAAGTTTTTTTTTTCTTTTGTACATAAATGTACAATGACATTGTCAAATCTCACAATGCCCAGTGATATTTCAGCAGCCGTCATGTTTAATTATATTGGATATTGTAGTTCCGGTCAGTGTTGTATTAATACGCTAAGAATTGTGTCTCATGCTGCATGGTAATTAAAGTCCCATCAACGACACAGCTTTCAAAGAGGCTATATAGTGACAATGCCATGCAAATGTAAATATAGGGGCTATGTTTACCTGTATACAAAGTGGATATATTTACCTGTATACAAAGTGGCTATGTTTACCTGTATACAGGACTGTGTTGTAATTTCACATGTGTCGATTAAGGCCGTTAAAACATATGTACAAATCAAATTTATATGTTTAAACACGAAACCGTATATATTGTTAAGACATTCCTCAATTTACAACAACCACGATTGTTATCGCACAACGTCCGTCCATGTGTTCAAGCAATGATCGTCCAACTTTTTATCGTTCGCACATCGTGCACACAACGTTCACACACCGTGCACACATGCGATCCCACAACTGTATATAGGGGTACAAGGGGACTGCGAATAAAACCGCATAAGTTTCGTTACCATAGCAACCACACGGAGGCTTCTGAGTGGTCGAAATTTAGATATTGTTCTATTTCGATGAAAATTGGTATATAGGGGTATTAGGGGACTGCAAATTCAATCATATACGTTTCGTTGCCATAGCAACCACACATGGGGTTCTGATTGGTCGCAATTTAAAAATTGCTCAATTTCAATCAAATTTAGTATGTACATTGTAGCTGTATTATGGCAATGCGATCCTTTTCTGATGCATCTTTAATGCGACTATGGGGGCAGTTTGAGGGACATCTGTAATGACAATTACAATTAGTACTTGTTCCTTATGCTTTTATGAACATCCTCATTTGTTTCCTTTACAAAGGGAAGTTTAAAAAATTGTTGCATTTCTTTCAGTTGTATATATAAACCATTTATTTTTGGATGTCTGCATTCTTGCCATTTCATGAAATGAAATTTAAAAAAGCCTATCTTTGAATTCTGACTATCTCCCACAAATTAACAATACCAAAACATTCATCATAGACACACATAACTATAGCTTATAGCTGGCATGTAGTAGAATACATTAATTATCAGTAAAATATGCCTTCATATTTCATAGCTGAAGCATATGCTATGTGTTAGACACATATACATGTATGTAACGTGTTAAAGCATTAATTTTCTTCTTCCCATTTCAACAATTTTTTACCAATATATGTCCCAAATCTAATCAAATGCAAAATTCACAAAAAGGAAAAGTCTTCATTAAAGTTGATTTTGGGAAGCATACATCAGTTCCACTGAATAAAGAAAATGGTCGACTGATGGCCATCTTTAATTTTGACAGTTAATGTTTGTTTTTCCCCCGCTGGTTCTGGGGTGGGGGTGGGGGGGGGGACTATAGAGTTGCACTCCGTCCGTCCATCCCTCTGTCCTTCCGTCCCTTTGTCCTTTCTTCCTTCCTGCCTGCCTGCCTGCCAAGAAGTTTGTCCGGGCATATCTTCTATACTTTTTCACCTGGAGTAACCAAATTTGGTGTACAAGGACATCTTGGAATGGCAGAGTGCAAGAATTAGGAATGACTTGACATTTACTTTTGAAAATATTTGTTTGAGGCATATCTTTTATTCCAAGTGCAGAGTGCAAGATTTAGGTCACTGTGACCTATGACTTGTCCTTTATTCTTTACTTTTGAAAATGTTTTTTCCGGGGCACATCTTCTATACTATTTCTCCTGGAGTAACCAGATTTGGTGTACAAGGACATTTTGGGATGGCGAGTGCAAGAAGTAGGTTACTATGACCTCACTGTAACCTATGCTTTGAACAGTAGGTATATCCTGACAAAAGTGTACTGTTTGTTAAATATAGAAATCATTACCGGTGGGGGACTATGGATTGCCTTGAAATACTTTGCCTTGTTATTGTTATTCTCAGAAAGTATTGGATGGATCTTTCTCAAATTTGTTTTGTATGTTCCCCTTGGTTCTTTATTTTGCATATTTGCTTTTAAGACTGATGGATAACACAAAATGGTTGACAGGTGGCCATCTTGGATTTTTACAGGGGAGGTTTGTTATTGCTTTTACTCAAAAAGTGTGTAAGGGATTTTTCTCAAATTTGATATGTTTAATTGTAGGTTCCCTTTTCTTTAGTTGTGCAAGTTATATTTTGGGAGTAATTTTCACATTAAGCACTGTACTATTAAATATGTGAAAGGACAAACTCACTTTTACTCTTTACAGGACTCGATCAAACACAGAAAAAAAGAGAAAAGATCGAAGTGACATAGAATTAATAAAGTTGGTACAATTATGGATCTCTTGTTAATGTAACAGAGGTCAAATATGTTAAAAAAATTCAACGACTTCCTCTTTAGAACCGAAAGGCATAGAGTCATGATATTTATTAGATCGAGCCTAAAAAGTTTGTGAACAAAAATAACCTTAACCTACTTTGAAGGTCACAGATGTCAAATTTGTCAAAAACTTAAAATTACTTCTGAAGAAGAACTGAAAGTCCTGGAGTCATGATTTGGCTGGTAGATTGCTGGGAAGGAGCCCAATAAAGTTAATAAAAGTCAGGTGTATGTGGTCAAGGAAACCAAACTTGAACAAAATGAAACAGAATGAAAATGTCAGTCTGGCATAATTACAAAGAAAAGAATCACTATTACAAAAGGGTAAGAAAATGTAATAAAAAAGTATGTGTTTAATCTGTCAAGTGAAAACTCTGATGCTGCTGTATTTATATGATGAAATTCACCTTTAAATATTTCTATTCACAGACAAATGCACCCTGATTTGAGTAGATGACAGAATATGGAAATAAAGTTGAATCCACTTCAGACTTATACCATTTTCAATATGGTTCTGTCTTTATTAGGTGAGTCTTGCATTGTTAAATATTGTCACCTATGTGATACATAATGAATATGTAAACTGATCATTGTCAGAATCTATTAATTTGTCACTCACATCTGTTTTGTACTGTGGCATCACATAGCTATAGAGGATGTATTCTTTATTGTCAGCTCACCTGGCCCGAAGGGCCAAGTGAGTTCATGGCATGGTGCGGCGTCCGGTGTCCGTCGTCCGGCATCCGTCCGGCGTCAACTTTTTACCTTAAACAACTTCTTCTGTATAACCAAGAGGCCCAGGCTGATGATATTTGGCCAGTAGCATGCTGGGATGAAGGGCTACCAAGTACGTTCAAATGAATGACCTTCACCCATATTCAAGGTCACAACGGTCAAATTTGTTTAAACCCTTTAAACGACTTCTTCTGAATAACCCTGAATTTTGATATTTAGCTAGTAACATGCTTAGATGAAGGGCTATCAAGCTTCTTCATTTGAATGACCATGACCTACTTTCACATTGTGTCAAATATGTTTAAACATTTAAATGACCCTAATTTCATTAAACAAAAGGATAGGGTGGTGATATTTTGCAAGTTGCATCCTGAGATGAAGGGCTATACAATTTGCTTAACATAATGACCTTGTTCGACATTTAAGGTCTATTTGGCTAGAAACATGCTTGAAGGAAGAGCTACTAACTTTTTTTCAAATAAATGACTTTGAACGATATTTAAGGTCACATGGGTCAAATATGTTTAAAAGGTTTAAACCCCTTATTCTGAATAACCTAAAGGCATAGGGTGATAATATTTGGCCAGTAGCATGTTCGACTGTAGGGCTACTAAGTTTGTTTAAATGATAAAATTTGACTTATACTCATGGTCACAGGGGTCAAATTTGTTTAAATCTTTTAAAACAAATTCTTCTGAATAATCAAGAGGCCTAGGGCGAGGTTATTTGGCCAGTATCATGCTGCGATGAAGGGCTACCAACTTTGTTAAAATGAATGACATTGACTTATATTCAAGGTCACAGGGTCAAGTGTGTTTAAAACCTTGAAACAATTTCTTCTGATTAACAAGGAAGCCTAGGGCGATGATGATATTTGGCCAGTAACATGCTGGGATGAATGATTACCAAGATTGTTCAAATGAATGACCTTAACATATATTCAAGGTCACAGGGGTCAAATATGTTTGAAACATTTAAAGGGGCATCACGCTGAAGTAACTATTTTTTGTGTCTTTTTTTCAAATACTACATGAACATATCGAGTGAGACTCCTTATGGAAAATAACGATCGGATTTGGCTGAAATAGATTCATAAAAATGATAAAATCTAAGATAATCATTGGTATTTCTACCTGTCTGACCAATGTTTTGTTCAGGGATTTCCCTCTACTAGCGCATGCGCATAGCACACCATTTCTTTGTAAACAAAATGACTGGCCGTGTGAAGTTAGCCAAAGAAAAGTGTTGTACCGTGTCAGCTACGAAGCGAAAAGTTGCCTAATGGTCAAAAGATAGCTCAAGGAGTTTGTTACGGAATCATTATTACAGGTGGGAAGTATTCAAAGGAGAAATAACTGCCCTAGCAGTTAGTACGGTGCATGTATTCTTCCGGATAGCCAGTTAAGCTGAAATGGAATCGACAGAAATGCTAGCGCTGTTTATGTTATGAATAAATATCTAAAACTATTAACCTCGCTAGTATCTTTGTCCGAGTTTGAACACAGATGAACTTAGTTTAATATGCCAATGGGCATGTGTCGGAGAGATTTTACTTTGTGTTTCTATAATTATTCAGTGGTTTATGCGAAAGGAAGGGATAAGTGACTGGTTAGTTTGATTTTGTCATGAGGCCCTCCAAGGGTTAACTGTTGTGATAGCCATGGCGTATTCTGTCTCTGTCGGTACTCGTGATCGGGGTCAAATGAGATACGTGCGCTTTTAGTTTTACATAATTCATATTATTACCGGGTTCAGTAAAATGGTATGATTTAATCATATTGCTGAATTAAATGATTTTTTGTTTGTTTTTACATACAAGATTTAAATTAGTACTAATATGAATACCCGGCTTCCTTTGGCGCAACGACGCAATATATAAAAAAAAATCTCTCGTCGTCAGAAAGCTACATTATCACAGCTAGATTAAAAATGTCAAAATGACGGGCCAGGATGAATAACTGAGGAAGGAGAACCTACTTCTAGTAAATAGGATTGCGTAACATTTTTAGGTCACCTGAGACAAAGTCTCAAGTGACCTATTGCGATCGCCTTTTGTCCGTCGTCGTCCGTCGTCCGTCGTGCGTCCGTAAACAATTTACATTTTCGACTTCTTCTCCAAAACCCCTGAACTTTCCATGCCCAAAGGTCAACAAAAATAGTTGCCCGTTTGGTCCCCGGCCCCCAGGGGCCTGAGGGGCGAGGCCAAAAAGGGTCAAATTGACTAAAATTTCAAAAATCTTCTTCTCAAGACCCAGATATGGTAGAATCAAATACTCTTCATAGATGGAAGGGTCTTAAGGTGCTTTACCGAAATTGTGAATTTCTTGACCCTGGGGTCTCANTGAGCCCTGACTGACCCCCCGGGGCTGATGGGAGGGTCCAAAAAGGGTTGAATTGACTGAAATTTCAAAAATCTTCTTCTCAAGACCCAGATATGGTAGAATCAAACACTCTTCATAGATGGAAGGGTCTTAAGGTGCTCTAACAAAATTGTGAATTTTATGACCTTTGGGTCTCACGTGTACCCCTGGGGAGGGGGTAAACTTTACTATAGTTTATATAGGGAAATCACATTTTGGACCAACATTCGTTTAATTTTCATTGGAAGTAATTCAATTTGGGTTAGCATTATCAGTATTGGATAGCAGTTTGATGGTATGCACATATCAGCCCTGACTGACCCCCGGGGCTGATGGGTGGGGCTAAAAAGGGTCGAATTGACTGAAATTTCAAAAATCTTCTTCCCAAGACCCAGATATGGTAGAATCAAGCACTCTTCATAGATGGAAGGGTCTTGAGGTGCTCTACCAAAATTGTGAATTTTATGACCCTGGGGTCTCACGTTTACTCCTGGGGAGGGGGTAAACTTTACTATAGTTTATATAGGGAAATCACATTTTGGACCAACATTTGTTTAATTTTCATTGAAAGTTATTCAGGTGACCGTTAAGGCCCATGGGCCTCTTGTTTTTAAAATCGTAATATTTCAACAGTTCATGTTTTCATATGTTGTTGACTTAGAATGTATGATCATGTAACAACCTTTTCTCTATAAAGAATTAATTTTCGACTTCAGATAGAATCGGAATACGTATTGAAAACAGGGGAAGAAACATTTGTTTACGTTGTAAAAATGACGTGTGCTGCTGATAACTACGGCTTCTGTTTCGGACAAAAATGAAATGATTAAAGAAAAGTTGGCTCAACATAAAAAGGGTCCATTGACAAGAATGCTTTAATCTATGAAAAGTATTGAAAAAATATAATTATCAAGTAGCCCATATCTGACACATATTCTACATATACACGTAGTGGTTTTGCCATACAGTTTAGTGTGTGTGATGGCTAATATGACTTACTAAGTGTTAGCGTATGGAGACGGTGAAAGTGGGAAAGAGAGTATACATATTTGTTTATGCATGGTATAGAAAAAAAACATTGGCCAAAGATATTGAGTTGTACAATGTAATAAAACAAATCACAAACGTTTCTCTTTTTTATACGCGTGTAGTTTGTCATTGCATATATGCACTTTATGAAAACATTTGAAAAGGGATATTCTTCTCGTGAATATTCCTTTTTACAGAAAGGTTTGTCCCATGGTTGAAGAAAGGTGTTTAGCCCCGTACAGATGTCACATTCCGGTACTAAATTCAATATATATTTATATATATATACTTTATGTTTATGCCTATTATCATTGTTGACATTTAATTGTAAATGTATGACGGGAGAAGGCTGTGATAAATTGTAAAAACGTGTTCCCCATCCCTTGTTCAATTTTATTGGCAACAAATATGTTTAAAGCTAAATAAATTTAAATTCTGAATATTGGCAAGTGTGCAATTAACTTCTGATGATGAATAAATACTGTTCAATAAGTTTTAATACGGACTTAGAAATCATATTACTTGGTTTCATAGTGCGGTAAGAAGTTGCAGTTGCCTGACGCCCCTCTCTGGGGGCCCGTTTGGAAACCGTTTCATCTTGCCCAGACCGCTCGTGTTTACTGCCTAGTCAGGTGACGTTATCGGAGCTATTTTTAGCAGGGCTTTCCCGAACAATTCAAGTGGTCAAACTGGACATTTGGAACGGACTATGAATATGGGGATAGTGAGGTAACATAAGTGGAAGTACATTCACTAAAAAAAAATATGGCTCTTCACGTGATGTCCCTTTAAACAACTTCTTCGGAATGCCAAGGGTAGGTGATATTTGTCCAGTAGCATGCTGGGATGAAGGGCTATCAAGTTTATTCAAATGGATGACCTTGACTTATATTCAAGGTTACAGGGGGTCAATTGTCTAAAAAAGAACTTTAAAACACTTCTTCTAAATAACCAAAAGGACCATTCTGAATAACCAAATCGACCAGGATGTTGATATATGGTAAGGAGCATGCTGGGATGAAGGGCTCTCAAAATTGTTAAAATGAATGACCTTGACTTATATTCAAGGTCACAGGGGTCAAATATATTTTAAGTCTTTAAACATCTTCTTTTTAATAACCAAAAGGCCCAGGATGTTGATATTTATCCAGTATTATGCTAGGATGAAGGGATACCAAATTTGTTAAAATTAATGGCCTTTACATTTATTCAAGGTCACAGGGATCAAATATGTTGGAAATCTTTAAATGACTTCTTCTGAATAACATTGTGGCCCAGGATGCTGCTATTTGGCCAGTAGCATACTAGGATGGAGGGCTACTCAGTTTGTTCAAATGAATGACCTTGACTTGTATTCAAGGTGACAGTGGTCGAATATTTTTAAAATCTTGAAACGACTTCTG